ATAATAATATAATAAACAATTATTAATTTATTTAATCAACTTTGTTATTTCTAATTTAACAATAATAAATTATTCAAAAAGAATGATTAGTTGACCTGAATTTTTATCAGATCAGGTCAAATCAGATCGACCTGTTGATCCGATCTGATATCAACCTGAAAATCTATTGACCTGACCTGAATTTTCAGGTCAGTTCAGGTCAGGTAAATAGGTTGACCTGACCTAATTCAGAGCTCTACTTCTTGCATAATATGAAAAAAATAAAACCATTAAATAACTAATGATTTATTACATTTTAAATTGCTTTCATTATTTTTACAAATGATATAAAATATTATATATATTATTATTATATATTAAATTTGTATATGGTCTAGATTATGTGATCATATTTATTATTTTATTAGTGGTCAACCCTTTTGTCAATCATAATTATTATAAAAATGCTGATCAATATTTTAATTAATTAAAAGAAAGGCTTCTTATGAGATAAGACATATTAACATATTTCGCATAAACAAAGAGTGATAAGCACATTACAAATCTTGATGCAGTAATTAGGATCTATCTAGCAAATTCATTAAAGATAAAAATTAAATTGCGAATGTTTAAATACAGTCAAAGATTTATCAAAATGAACATCGATTCTAGAATAATCTATAGTAAATCCTTAAAATTTGATTAGCTTATATCTATTCTCTTTTGGCTAAAATTTGTGACTTTCATAATATTGATTTACAATTAGTAATCATATGTATAGAGAATAAATCCCTCTAGTTTTATAATCATTCAAGATCTATTTATAATCAACTTCCTTTAAAAAAGTAAATTAAACCTAAATTTTTATTAAAATTTGTATTAAATTGATTTAGTTAAGCTAATAATTATCTTTTTTTTTAAAATTTTAGTATACTAGAAACTAAAAAAAAAATGTTACAACCCTTACTATCTAAAAAGAAATAAAGAGCTAAAGATTTCTCCTGCATATTCTTTATTTTAATTAATATTTATAATAGACTGGGCTTAAAATCTTATGAGATGAAAGAATCACAAATTTAGAAATATGCTAGTATTAAGAAAGTAGTTAAGCAACTTATATTTTATTAAGATTTTATATCTGAACTCACAAATTTTCATTTTTCTAATCAAATTATAGCTACTAAAAATTTTTATTAACAGCTTTTAAATGATTTTATGCTCATTTATGTAAATAAAAAAATATTAATTATGATAATAATCTTGTTTATACTTTAGATCCTAATATTCATAAAGAGACAGTCCCTAATAATAAACAATACCCATTAAAAGAGAGATTATTTGAAGAAAGTTGAATAGATCACAATGTTATGAAATTACAGCAGTAAATAAAAGAAGTGATTATATAAATACCAAGGGTAACAAAAATATTGCACAATCAAAAATGAGATAATTGAGTAAATTTTTCATTAATAATTAAACCATATTTTATTAGAAACATTTTGGACATCTATTGCGTTAATAAAATATTTTTATTAATTGTTTAATTTATTATATTGCATTCTTCAAATCAAATTTTAAAAATCTCTATTTTTTAACATTGTGTATTATATTTTTGTTAAAAGACTAAAATGCTATTATTATAATAAAAAAATTGAGTCTAGCAACTCAGAAATCATAAATTATTAAGATGTTATTGACTAATTTTATGTGAATAATTGTAATTTACTAATTAGTAAAAATATACAAAAAGCTAAAAATTGATCCTTTAACGAAAATATATAAAATGCAAAAATTGAAAAAGTAGAGATTTTTTCAAAATTAGATTTTACACTATATATTACTTTAAACCAAATAATGAACAAAATATTTTATTAAGTAATAGTTAACTAATATATTATTAAAAAAAATAGCTCAGTTACTTATTAAAAATTTACAAAATTATCTATGTAATACTTTGTTATTTCCTGGTATATTGAAGAGTTAGCTTGAATAAAGAGATCTATATCAAAAATAATAAGAAGCTTGTTAAACAATAGAATTTTCAGTATTATATTTAGCATAAGCATATATAAGTAGTTATTGATATTGTACTAATTGAACAGAAACCTTTATATGAGGATATTGAATTTTTAATTAGAGATAATAATAGATTTTTTTTAAAAAATCTATTGAACTATACTCTATAGATATAATTAAGTAAACGTAATCAAGTAGTTATGAAGTTTATTAAAATATTAACCTAAAATAATCTTTAATACAGATTTCTTAAATACTGAAAAAATTTAAAAAAAAGTAATAGTTATAGATTTAATATACGAGATTAAGTACAGAAAATACTTGTCAAAAATGAATCTTGTGACATTATTTATCAAATATTTTATTGTGTAATCAAAAATTATTATTAATGTTGATGGTTATATTACATATTCAGAAAGTTATTCTCATTTTCAAAACTGATTAACAAACTATTAAAAAGGAAAGGACCTTTTCTTGAAAGACTTTTATTATCACTTTTGATAATGAACAATGTGAACAACAAAATTATCTTGATTGAAGAATTAATATAGTGATATTTTATATCATTATCAGTTTTGTAATCTTTAATATAAAGCTGCAAAATTATATTTAATCTACTAATTTACCTTAGGTATCTAATTCTCTTAGTAGGTTACAGTATAAAAATCTTTTTGAAATTTTATCAGAAATGCAAGAAGCAATAAAATCAAGAATTATATAATTACTTTATTGAAATTCTTGAATTGTTATGTAAAGAAAAATTATTACGACTAATGTTATTGATTCTCTTATAAATAGTTTAAGATTGAACGATCAGTATGACAAATAATGCTCTAGTTATAAAGAGCAAAATATCGATAATTGAAAACAAATTTACTTTAAGTGTAAAAATCATCTCCCTATATTAGTAAATTATCAAAATAACGTATTTCTGAGTTAGAAAAAAGCAATTCATTATAAATTATATTGTATTGAAAGAGAAACTAAAATACTTACTACTTAAGAATTAGTATTACATGAAGATCATCTGCAGACTAAAAAATTAATATTCTAAAAATCTTTATTCTTAATCCTTTTAACATTAATCTAATTTAATAGCGAATATTAAAAAAATTCTTTCTTACATTGAAAAATTGCAGAAATTAAAAATAGAACTTGCAGATGTATGGTTATTACATATGATGGAGTTCTATATCAATGTTTAATTAAAAATATTCTAGCTGATTCTTGTTTCTGGATATCTATAAGAATAGATAAATATACTTTAATTGTTTATAAAATTAAATTGGTAAGTTTGCATTTTATTTATTTTTTAAATATATACTTACATAACTTTTTTATTATTATTTAAATGAACATTAATATCAAATAATTTGCAATATCCTAAAGGTATAAAACCAAGAACTAACTTACTTATTTTAAGAAATGTTATGATTATTATAAGTCTTAGAACTTAGTTTGTAATATTTATCATTAATCAAAGGCTATAAAACTTATGTGACCATATGTCAAGAACAATTATAATTCATCAGTAGAAAGATATTTAACTTAAATAAAAAAGCAAAAAGATTTACTGTATCAAATGAAATTTGAGCAGGTAGAATTGTTATATCTTTTAAAAACATTTAATAAACTTATATTAGTTATTACTAAAATTTCATTAATAAATATTTAGTTATCTTCAGATTATCATTAATTATAGAATAGCTATTAGAAAAATAATCTATTATTAAAGAGAGCTGCAAAAAGAGTCTTTTCACTAATATGGTTAGCATAATGTTATTCAATATACCGTTTGATAGAAGTTACAGATAAATACAACTAATATGACTTGATCTAATCATATAGAATATTATAAAAAAATTGTATAGTATTTTAATTAGGACTTTTAATCAATATTAAGGATTAGATACAATATTGAAAGAAATAAATAAGACTCTAGAAAATAGCTACACAAAATTGTAAAAAATTCTTTTAGATAAGTTATTGTATTTTAATTTAATGACTTAAATTTATAATTATTATTTTATTAAACATTTAATTACAGAACAACTTTTTCAACTTAATTGGATATAATGATTTTCAAATAAGTAGTCTAAGAATCTAACTAGAATTAATTATAGAATATCAAAAATTTAGAATTCATCTAAGAAAAAACAATTTTATTAATCTTATAAAATCAAGAACTATTTATAAAAATTTAGGAGAGGAACATGAATTAAGCAAACAAATGATTAATTTTATTAATTTGATAAAGCAAGCTTAAAAAGAATATATTACTAAAGTTTTTTATAATAATAGTTCAGATGAAGAAGTTGTATAAAAGGCTGAGGCAAATATGACTCAAGCAAAAAATATCTTAAAATAAAATCTAAAAAGCATAATGAATTATTAATTATATTAAAAAAGGTAAGATCTTTTTTTAATTTAGATAATGAACTTGGTAACGATTGTTCTAATAATTCAGAAACACAAAACATTGAAATTAATTTAATTACATAAATATTTATGAAAAATAAATTAAAAATATATTTTATAAAATAAATAAATAAACACTTTTTTATTACTTTTATGGATAATTAATTCATAATATAAAAAAAAAAATTTTATTATATAAAATTTCTTAAAAGTTTATTATTTCTTTTTATATTAGATTAACAAAAATTTAAAAACTTGCAATTCATTAGTTTATTATTATATGTAAATTATAAAATAAATTCTAGAATCATCTAGAACTTTCTAATCGACATTTCTACTATACTATAAAAGGAATAATCGACAGCATCCATTTATAATCAACAGCAAATTCACGATTTACAAGGACCACTTTTCTGGCAATTTAGTGTGTTGACAAATCCCCACTATTATCAGAAAAAAAAGAGATTGCGAATCGATTAATAAAAAAATCAAAATTTTGAATTTTTTTTTTTTTTTTTTTAAAAAAAAGAGATACATACCTAATACCTTTATTAGAACCAGGTTCGTCAACGATACGTTTATCTTTTGGAAAGCGTCCGGTCTTGTTACCGGAAGCTTTACTAGGGCACCAGTGAATGAAATTGCGGAACCCGACTAAAAATTTAAAGCATCTTCATATAACTGAGCGACTGAGGTTCCATTGAATGGCAACGTGGTCATAGTCAATATGTGTGGTATTATGAAATCTTCGATTATAGAGTGAGACATGGTTTTGATTTTGGTTTCTTTTTCGTACATCTACTTCTAGTTCACTTTCACTCCTGATTAGGCATCCCTTAGTCCCATGCTAACTTGATTTTATCTTTCCAAGACTTGCATCTCGAACATCCAGGAAGATACCTCCTGACACTTCACCAATTAATAGTTCAGGTTCCAACTGATATGATTTGCAGTTACAATTAGATCACATTTTTGACCCATTCGTGACTGTGATTGTGGATCGGAGTTCTTGTTTCGCTAGAACTTTTCAAAGATTTCTCGCCACTATAATTTGCATAAAACTTGATTAATTAATAAAATTTTAGGACAAAAGATTTTTAATACATACATACCAATATAAAGTAAATTTCTCATAGTCGTTAAAAATGGCATCGAAGTATGGTAAGATATTCCGATACATATGCATCATCTCTGAAAGTTTCCGGCTTGGTTGCCTTAAATATCTTCAAATCATTTTCATAATCATTTGAAGTGGTCATAATTCCTATATTTGGATCCTATGTGAGATTAAGATAAATAATGAAATCAATCTTACTTTTTAAGAAAATCATTTTCACATCTTAGTTCTTACATCATATAACTTGTCCAATAAATCTTCAACTTCACACGTATTTTTTTGGTTTCAAATGAAACCTTATCGCGAATGCTTTCATTTAGAGCATTCATGTCAAATAGATTGTTTGTTGGAGTATGCTGTCCAGAAATTATCAATAATATAATACCATAACGGATATATAAATTGTTTTGATTGCGGGGTAGTGTTTCGATATTCATCAATCTTGTGGCGTATTTCTGTAAAATTGATTTAACTTGACATGCTTTGTAAAGGTGAATATAAAATAATTGATACTCTCTCAGATTCTAAGTCATTTGGTTCAATTGCACTATTATCAACATCTTCACCGTCATCATATTGATCGTTATTAGGGGAAGATTGATCATCGTTAACAGAAAAGGAGCTGGTTTCTTGATCCTAAACAATTATAATAATATAAGCAAGCAATGATATGATAAATCAATTAATATCTTTTACATACCATAACTGCCTATGGAGACCAGAAAATATTTACTTCCAGTGAATGTAATACGACCTAAAAAAAAAAAAAGAAGTATGGCTTCAATATCGTATGGATCAGTATTAAACCTTTGAGGAAGGTATATAGCCATTTCTCCTCCGGAATTAGTTAAAACACTTACATAATAATATTCATTGACAAGGATGGAACATTCATTTCTCATACACGTACGCTTGCATAGAAGTCTATAATCTTTCCTGTATACGTAAACTTGGCATGTAAAACAGTATGTTAGTCAATGAAGTCCCCATAAGGTCTCTTCAGCAGTTCAGCACATACCTCAAAATTATCCTCAATATGTTTATGATATTTGCGATATATCCACTTTTATAATTGTAGTGAAATTTTATAATTTCAAAATCTTGACGGTATAACCTTGGTTTTTCGACAATTAAATACCTAAGTTGTTATTTTTGGTGATTCCCTTCCAGTATTTTTCTAAAATATGGAATTAATAACGATACATTCCATTGTCATTCAAATTTAAACTTGATAGCAAGTTTTTTTTCCAAACGCAAAAATTGGTGTAAATTTATGAGAGTCTACAGTATTGAGTCAGGCGCGTGTATAAATCACTGACGCACAGATCACCTATTTAGAGCAACTTTAACAAACTCATATCTTTTTTATTTTTGAAAGAAAAAAATATTAGAACTAAAAAAGAAAATCTAGTAAAAACTAGGAAAATTCTCTGTCATTTTCTGTGTTAAAGGTAGGGTTCACCCCTATATGAAAATGTGTTGTTTATATGCAAAATTTTTTTGTTGATCACGCGTAAATAAATCAGAAATCAATCACGTGACAATATACAATATATAATCGGGGTAGACCCCATTTTCTCAAAATATGATTGGTTTAAATCAATCTTCATCAGCCACATATTTTTGTGTAACTTTTATCTTGGAAATTTTTTTCCGTACTTAAAATTTTTTAAAAAAAATGAAAATATTTTATATTTTCATTATTTTCATGTATTTAAATGGTAAAGAATAAAAAAATAACAAGTATGTTTATGTATTTTAAATAGTAATAAATAGATAAAAACTTTTAA